ATCAGCGCATTGGATAACCCCAGGTAAGCGAGAATTTGACGAGGCTGAATGGGGACAAGTGGTGGGAATTTGACTGTCAGGGTTATCGATTGATGCTATGAGCCACAGTCTGTGGCTCCGATACTATTTCGTAGTTAATATATCACCATTATAACCTATTCTAGAAAGTTCCACCTGTGTGAGGACACGATTCATAGTATGCACATTATCGCGGGACCAGTTGTCAATAGTGTGAAATCGCTTCCAAAAGCGCAGAATACATAAGACCTAGCTAGGCTGGTGGCAAGGGCCTTTGGTGTGCATGGTGCGACAGTGTGGCAATTCAAGTAGCATCTCCGCAAACGTCGCCACCCATCTCATGTACCGTGGACCCTTTCACGGATATACCTGGCTCCTGCACGCCGACGCTGAGTTGTATCAGAAAGCGTATGCAGTAGAAGCGTTTGGCCATCATTACTACATGAAGAGAACTCAACAGAAGTAATGTTTATTGCGTCAAATCAATAGCATAACGCAGAAACATGTGGTGGGATCGTGGACCATGGCGGCGGCGGGTAGGAGGCCTGACCTTGGAGAGAAGAGGAGCTGGTCGTTGGGCTCTGTCGTTGAAAGCTTGAAGTTTTATTTGTGTGACTTGTTATATATCCTTGCGCTATCAGTGATTGACATCTCCGATGGCTTGGGAATTGCTGTTCTTATAACATGGACGATGGCATCCTAAAAGATTTCAATACTGATTACAACGACATTCTAGTATAAAGAGCACTGCTCTTACATATTCGTTGATGTAAGGAGCTGGGTCCCAACTCGTGACAAACCTTGCCATAATGAATAACGTGATGCTGATGGCAAGAAGCAAAGAGGAGGTGGAGAAGAAAGTGCCAATTAATAAAGAGCTTGAACTGCAGGGTCTGAAGATCAGTGCCGCAAAACCGAGTACGTGGAGCTGGGAGCTTAGACGCTCGGCATCAATTTCGGCAAAAAAGGAAAGGGGATGTTGAATCAGCTCTATATGCATAGGCCTAGTTGAAGCTTCCCATTTCTTCCAATGCTTACCGTGAACGAGAGCAAGAATGGAGCTATCAAAAAAAAGTTCTGTCTATTTGATTGAATTTCTGTTACACACATTTTACTATTAGACAAACATACTTTTAATACTCAAAAAATAAGTTTTACCGTCCTTCCTCACTGAGGAGTTCCGGGGAGGTCTGTAAATACTTTTATTCTGTCTAAGGGCAGGAACGAAACGGAGCCTTGGTATTCGAACATAAATTTAAGCTTCTTGTTATTATTTATGCTAGCTAATTAGTGCTAGCAGGTCATCGGTTTGCGAATCACCGACATGAAAATCTAGCTCAATGATAAGAGCCTGCTGAGGACATCAGTAGTTTCTTACTATGGGTCTAAAAAGGTGTTTAGTTGATTGATTGATTATTGACTGAAATAAAGAAATGAAATGAAATGTATTTGGCCTATAGCGATTATATCTCAGTCAACATCAGAAAATATGAAGTTGAAGTCTTGGTGCGCAGAATTCAGCTGTAACTCTTTTTCGTCGGGTGCAGATTGCTGATGCAAGTTACGTTTGCATCGCTACTGATCCATAAAAATTCAAATCAAGTCAGAAGTTCTATTCATCATTCTTCATAAAGGCACTTCCACTAGTAAACAAAAAGTGACATGTGAGATCTAGCAAGTGAAATTATACGAGGCACAATGGCTCAATAACACTAATGTACAGCACTCCTAACTAATTCTGTTTAACTTTTTGGACAAAAAGTTTTCTTCCTAAGGCTTTTAACAATTTAAAAATGATAACCAAGAACGAACATATAACAATAACAACAACAGCTATTACGTCAAGATTAAAATAAACAATCGAATTCAGTCGGGAGCCCTGCACATGTAGAACATCTAAAACGCCGTTTTCGATAGCAAAATTAGTCCATTGAACGAGTCGCTGCTCGGCACTGAATGGTTTCTCTTGCATTAGCTTCGACATGCGCATAGCATTTTGTTTGTAACTGTAAACAAGATCTTTTCAAATGTTCAAACACATGGCTTGATAAATAATGCTCTGCGCTACCTGTCATCACTTAATATCTCCTGTATAGCAGATCTAATCGTTTCTTCAGAAAGCTCCAGTTTTAGAATTACCTGAATAGGTTATATCGAGACAGAAGGCCAAGCTCTTTGCCAAATGCACAAGAAAAAGCATATTCATGCTACTGCAAAAAAAACCTATCACCTTTCCCACGCCTCGCTTTTCAACATTTCTACCATTGCGGAATTGGTCAGCAAACAATGGAATGACCACAACTGGAACTCCTCTGAATAATGCTTCTTCAAGCCCATTGATACCACCATGCGTGACAAAAAGTTTCAGTCGGGGATGGGCTACGCAAAGATAGTTCAGACACTTATGGTAAATATGTTCTGCTTACCTAATATGTCTTTCTGAGGTAACCACTCAATAAAGTCAAAGTTGGAGCCATCCTTGAAGAAAGATGGTGTACTAGTGTCGCCTGAACATCAACAAGCAGTTAAAAGCAAATGAATCTGTCGTTGAATCTGTCGTTCTGTAGTTGAACGCTATGGAACTTGGTATCGAACGATGTATAAAACTTTGGTATAAATGTCATATCTTGAACGCCAATCAGGCCAACATTGCTGCAGAATCAAAGAAGGACATATGTACGATTCTTTCAACAGCTAACGAAGTTACGAATTCAGTTCTAGCCTTCAGCACAGCTCGCAATCACATTTCAAATGATTTGTTCAGATAAATTTCTAGGTTCCTGATCGCCATGTTTCGTATGTTAGAGTCATTCAATTATTCATCTGTTTTGATTTTTGAACATATTTTACTAGTAACTGAAAAATATATCCCAGATGTTATGAATTGCCATATCTCATGATATTCTGCTAATACCATCCATGCGCTTATTGCTTCTGCTTGCAGGTTATTCTGGTGCCACGCAGCTACATAACAGCTAAGAAATACTTGTAAGAGCATAAGTTCAAACCTTTGCTAACTTTCAAAATGAAGTGGTAGTCTGGCATCGATTTGATAACATTTGCAAATCCTATTTTCACTTTCTGCGGAAGAACGTGAAAAGGTGCAATAGTCCCGAGCGAGATGATTATCACTCCATTCCTGCCTTTTTTCATCAAAGCGGTAAATTTCTAAGAAAACATTCTGTCGTAGAGTTGACCAAAAAATACCCAAACCTCGTCGAGTGGCTTTGGATCACTTATCCCTAATCCGCCGATGTAAATATTTTTATGAATGATTGGCCGTGGGAGATCGAACATCTCATCAGCGTTCACGAAGCAAA